TGGCCGACCCCGGGAGCGGGCCGCGGTCCTGCCCTCCTCGGCCGCCTCTTTCCCCCACGGGGCGGGGCTTCTGGGGAGAGTGGCCTGTGGCCGCCCGCAGTTGGAGCTGGGATGGTTGTGGCGGGTGACCACTTCCCCAGTACCTGTTGGCCCGCGGCGGAAGACGGTGCTGAAGGGGCTCAGGGAAGCCCTGTGTCGGCCAGGAGCGTTTGGCGGCAGTGGTTCCGGCTGAGCGTGAGGGCTTGAGTCGTGCAGGATCTTAGAGAACATTCAGTGGCACTTCCTAATTTTCAGGTCTATTGTCCTGGAACTGCTCAGTTTTAATTGGGTTGACTTTCCACTTCATGGTAAAATGGGATTTTCCCATAAGTGAGTGAAGTGTCCTCAGTAATTGAGACTTAGCCAGTGACGGTCATGATGTTAACAGGTGACTGGAGTGGAGGTAGGGGTATAAAGGCCAGATGGGATCTAGGTGCCCAGACTGGAACGCAGCCTCGGGAATAACCAAGAGTAGGGACAAGAAGCGTATTCCAGGGAGAGAACAGCACAGTGGCTTTCATGGTGCCTGGAGTCAGTGACCATTTCTTGTCCAGGAGGAATTGACCCCAGAGGCTAGGCAGAGGGCTTTTTTCTGTGCAGTTCCTAGTTTAGGAGTGATGGATCATAGAAACTAGCCAACTAATGGGTTCTAGAACAAGGCACATGGAGAACATTCTCTACAGCTTCTGGTGGGTACTTAGTTGTCTCTGCCTGGAATGGTTTTTGTTTCAGTTTTCTTTGAGTGTAAAGCAGTTACATTGAACAGGTAATTGGTTGACTTTCTTTTATGTAATGGGCACTTCTAGATGGTAAGGCCTGGCTGTGACCCAGACAGGGGCCTCCTCAGGAGCTTGCACTGTAGTGGGAGGAGATTGAAAAATAAACTAAAAGGCATCAGAAACAATTGCTGCACAAAATAAAAACATTAGGGACTGGTGGTCAGTTTGGACAACAGTCAGGCCTCTCTGAGGAGGAGGTGACCTTTACACTGAGCAGGAGGAAGAGAATTGCAGACAGAACAGCTGGTGTGAGGGCTGCCCTAATCCAGGAACTAGTCTGACGTGTTTTCGGGGCCGGCACACACATGGTGCCAGGCTTGCAGGCTCTCCATGCGCTGCCACGAGCTCCTTGGGAAGCCTGGGCATAGGGTGCCAAAGTGCTGTGACCATCCTGCAGATCCAGCCCCACACATTCTTAGGTGGCTTACTCAGGTCCTGCTGCTGGGAAGTGCAGTGCTGGTTGTACTCCAAAGTTCACATTCTTGATCAGGTTACAGTGCCACTCGCATGTCATTGGCAGCAGGTTCAGTGGAGCTGTGGAGTCATGGCTGAGGTGCAGCTCAGTGGCAGAGAACTTGCCTAGCACGTGTGGGGCCCTGCTCCATCCCCAGCACAGGAAAAAAAGGTGTAAAGTCATATTTTCATATGTATGCTTGTTAGATAATCAGTTTGTGACTGATGCATGTTTTAGTGAGTTTCTCACATCAGCCTGTAGAGTAAAAAGTTTTAAGTAGTTAGCTTCTAGTACATACTTTAATGGGATAGCCAGGTATTTTGTTTCTAATATTACTTTTGGCACTTCCATTCACACAAAAGTGTTTTTTCAGTAAACAATTGGTTAGAGTAAAATGAGGAGAAGTTTGAAAGCCCTACACGATGAAGACTCTGAGTGAAGTAACTTTCTGCAGGCTGGGCTTTGGTGTAAGGAGGGTGGTCAGTCTAGATGTGCATGTAATGTAGCCTTTATTTAAACTGGGAACCCCTCTGGTGAAGTGTAAAGATACTCTTCCCAGAAGGGATCGGGAGGACTTGGGAGCCATAATGAGCTTTTAGTTAAACTGTGTGTCTTTGGTTTACAAGGCTCTCCTGACCAAAGGGCATTTCTTGAACAGCTCTGGGCACTGTGCTCTTGGGTCCTGGAAATGTATACATGCTAAAGACTGGACACTGTGGCCTGTTCAGCTGCAAGCCTGTGTTTAAGTTGTGATTAGAAAGCTGTCCACTCGAGACCTAGGGACTCATCAGGTGGCTTGTTGACTTCCACTTCAGAAGGTGGGTTTTCCCAGTGCTCACAGTGAAGATGTGGTTAGAAGGTTTTGGACTTAGGCAGGTGTGGGTCTGGTTCCAGCCCCATTGCACATGGCTGATTGCTGGGGACAGCACCCTGACCTTTGTGAGCCTGTTCTCTCTTCTGTGAGTGGGAGCAGTAACAGTAGCCTCAAGGCTTGCTGTGGAATGAAGATTGTCCTTGTGTCTGGTGCTTAATAGGGCTTCATTTTGCAGATGGGAAACGGGCTGGCTAAGTGGCCAAGGGGGTCTGCTGAGGACCTTTTCTGCTCAACATAAGTGGAACTTAAGCCTGACAGTGGAGTCTGTTTCTCCTCTTCACTGTCATGATAGTTGCAGAGGGAGTTTGGGCAGTTTGTCATCCACAGATTTGGGTGGGGGATGAGCCCTGCCTTCCCTATCTTAGGGCCCACAAGTGCCTTGTCTTTAAAGTGGGAGGGTCCCAGTTATTTAGCAGTGTCTCTTGAAGAGTGGTGGACCTCTGAGTCCATGCTCAGGAACCAGTTGTAAGGCTGGGCTCTAGGCCTGCTCAGGAGCAGAGTTGTGGCATGACCTTGGACTTCTTTGTGAAATGTGGATAATGATGTCCCTTCTCTTAGCCATGTGGGAATTAAGTGGGACAATGTGAGGACCTGGGATTTGGCACCTGGGTTCTCAACAGGTGAATTCTGCCTGGGATCACAACAGCATGTCGAAAGAGTCATAAGCAGATAGGATTACTTCCAGTTTTCAGATAAGAAACTGGGATAGATAGATGGGCTGCCTGCGAGTCCTGGATGACATCTTTGAGTTGATGGAGGATAAACCCAGGACAGGCCATAGAGAAGACAGGGTGCTTGCGGGAGGCTGGGGATCCTAGAGGAAGAAGTATCTGGAGGGTACTTCCTGTGGACTCACCGGGAGACTCCAAGCTCAACAGGTTAGGGTGGACAGCACTCCTGGAGAAGGGTTGGGGAGAGAGATTGTGGTGCTGGCAGTAAAAATAGTTCTTTAGTGCTGCTCAGCACATCAGCTTGCTCTGTCCTTTCCTCCACCAGAGCTTGTCACCTGCTTGTTTCTTTGTTCCGAATAATTCAGTGTAAAAACACAAAGAAATGGTTTGGATGAAATACTGAGTATGGGAAAACCTTGACAGATTGGTCAACAAATTTTCAAATCTTTGAGTGCTTTTTATTTGATTTAATAGTATTTTGTGTTTTTCTAGTTACAGAATGTCTGAAGGGGACAGTGTTGGAGATTCAGTCCATGGGAAGCCATCAGTGGTGTACAGATTTTTCACACGACTCGGACAGGTTGGTGCATTTGTAGATCAGTGTAAATATTTGGAAGAGAAGTTTTGGCTCCTGACACATCTTCAAGCGTGTGAGTTTGCTGCATTGCTGAGGAGAGCTAAGCACTAGCTGGCTGTACCTGACACTGCTCTGTGCTGGGCTCTGCTCTCCTGTGAACTCTTGCACGCATGTTTTCCAGAAAGGCCTGGTAGAGGAGAGTCCAGGTGCTGGCTGGGGGCCACATGTGGTCTTGGCCACATTGGCCACATGTATGTGTTTTTTTTTTGGTGGTGCTGGGGATGGAGCTGGGGCCTTGTGCATGTGAGGCAGGTGCTCTAGCCCTGAGCTACACTCCCAGCCCTTTTTAATTTTCTTTTTAGCAACTTTTAAAAATGCTCTGCAGATATGGCTGGTGGCCTTTGCTCTGCTCTTGCTGGTCCTCTTCTGCCACCCACATCTAGTTTTCCCTGCAGGCCTCACCTTCTTGGCCTGCACATGGCTATTGGGTGCTGTGTCCTTAGCGCTGGCCTAGGTGGATGTGGGCCACCATATATCTGTAATCCCAAATATGTGGCTGTCTGGGCTGCTTGGTGGAGTGGTGGGATTGGAGTTATTGGAACACTTCGTGCTTGAACTTGAGTCTAGAAGTCTAAGTTAGTGAACACTTTTTGATGCTGATTCTTTTAACTCAATAAAAAATTTATCAACTTTTTTTTTTTTTGGTACTGAGGATTGAACCCAGGGGCACTCACTGAGCCACATTCCCAGGCCTTTTTTGTATTTTATTTAGAGACAGGGTCTCATTGAGTTGCTTGGGGTCTTGCTAAGTTGCTGAGGCTGGCTGTGAACTCGAGATCCTGCCTAAGCCTCCTGAGCTGCTGGAATTACAGGCATGTACCACCACTCCTGACAAATTTATCAACTTTTAAAGTAGTATACGGCAAACTATTTAATTAATGAATCTAGGTGATGAATGTGCGTGGTCTCATTTTATGATTCTTTGAAAATTTTCACAATTTAAATTTTAAAATTAAACATGTATGTGTATGAAAAATGAAGAGCTCCCTTAGTAATGTCCACAGCTGCCTTGGTGCACTCACATGTGAGCTCTGGCTGCTGTGGTCAGGCTGTGGCTGACCCCTTGTGAGTGAAGGCAGGACCAACCTGGGGTTGCTGGGCCAGTGGGAGATTCCAGTACCTTAGGAGACGCCCGTGGAAGAAGCAGGCTTTGGGTCAGGACTTGGGTTGTGAAACCTGTTGTATGGGATGGTGACTTCAAGATGGGTGCCTTCTCCTTTTCAGTTGATGTCCTTTTAATTGGGGTGAAATTGGTCTTACCCATAATGATATCTTTGTGCTAATGCCGCAGTACTCTCTTCTAATTTTGGTTGTTTTATAGTGTTTTTGTTGAGGAGGTGAACCACTTTAGGAATTATTGTAAATTTTGAATTGTCACTGCTTTGTGCTGACATGTGTATTTATTGCTGTTTTAATGAACTCTTTAGAAAAATTTTTTAAAAAATATTTATTTTTTGGTGTAGATGGACACAGCACAATGCCTTTGTTTTTATGTGGTGCTGAGGATTGAACCTGGCTCCCGCCACTGCTACAGTCCTAGCTGAGCCACAATCCTAGCCCCTCTTTTGAAAATTTAAAACTAACTCTAGCTGGGTATGGTGTCATGTGCCTGTAATTCCATATATTTGGGAGGCTGAAGCAGGAGGATCACAAGTTTGAGGCCAATTTAGTAAAATTTGAAACAAGGGCTGGGGATGTAACTCAGATACGGAGCACTGGCCTAGCATGTGTGAGGACCTGGGTTCCTTTTTCAGTATAGCCAAAAATAAAAACAACTATAGTGAGAAGTACACTTTGTAGCAAAGTTGTTGTGAGAGTTCCAGGGTGGACCTAATGCTGTTTAACCCTTGTCTCTTTAGATTTATCAGTCCTGGCTGGACAAGTCCACACCTTACACGGCTGTGCGGTGGGTGGTGACACTGGGCTTGAGCTTTGTCTACATGATTAGAGTTTACCTGCTACAGGTAGGTATGGACTCTTATATCGGATGTGGTGTTGGTTGGGACATTGGTGATCCAGTATCGAGAAGGAAACGATCTATAATAAGCACTTTTCAGTTCAGCACCAATGAACGACGAATTTCAGTGACTGTCTTAATTTTTAAAGAGGATTGTTTATGATTCACCTTGCTTGTCTCATTCTGTAGCTTGAGTTCCCAGTGCACAGGCCATTCTTGACCTCTGCCTGTGTTCTGCCCTTGAGTGACCTGCTCTGGACCATGGGCTTTCTCATCCCCTTATCCTGTCATCCCCCCGCCACCCCGCCTGAACCTCAGGCACAGATCACGTTCTGTGGCAGATACCTCATTTGTCGGTGAAGACGTGGGCATTCACAGGGTTTAGCTGTTTTTTTTTTTTAATATTTATTTTTTAGTTCTCGGCGGACACAACATCTTTGTTTGTACGTGGTGCTGAGGATCGAACCCGGGGCCGCACACATGCCAGGCGAGCGCACCACCGCTTGAGCCACATCCCCAGCCCAGGGTTTAGCTGTTTGATGAGGCCTTTTATGAGGCCGAGGAGCCGAGTGAGCTCGCTGTGGTCTGTGAGTGAGTGGTGTGGTAGCCTGAGGCAGGTCTGCTCATCCCTGGGCTGCCAGTGGACACCCCCAGGGCAGCTGCAGCCTCTTGTTGTTTCCTAATGGACACCTGTCCTCAGGGACTCCTTGCACACCTGGAGAGGAGACTGTTTCTTATTTGTAGGCTCGGAGGGTGTACAGGTTAAAAGCCTTTTATCCAGAGTCCAGAAGAGATGTCCTCACTTAAAGCATACCTTCCTTCCTGCTACCTTCCAGGACTTGGGAGGTTGTCAGCCCATGAATGGACAGGTTTATTGGACTCAACCATGTTCTGGAGCTATGTGAAATTCTCACTTAAATTGAGTATAAGCTGGGTGTGGTGGCCACACCTGTGATCCCAGTGACTCAGGAGGCAGAGGCAGGAGGATCTAATCTTGAGGCCAGCCTCAGCAACTTAATGAGGCCATGTCTCAAAAAGTAAAAAGGACTAGTGGTATGGCTCAGTGGTGCAGCAGCCTGGGTTCATTCTCCAGTACCAAGAAAACAAAACACCAGGGCTGGGGCTGGGTCTCAGTGGTAAAGTGTTCACCTAGCATGCACGAGGCACTGGGTTCGATCCTCAGCACCACATAAATGTAAAATAAAGATATTGTGCCCACCTAAAACTAATAAATAAATGTTAAAAAAAAGATAACAAAACATTGAATGTAGAGCTTGAGTTTTGTTCTCATTCATCGTTTGTTCCTGTGAGTGAACCAACTTGGATTGGTATGAAGGTGGTGGCTTTTCTTATGTATCATAGCAGAACCCAGACTGTACAGAATGTCTGGAATTGGTGTTGATTTTTAAAAAATTGGAACTTGGCCCATTCACTAACGGAAAGACTGGTCCAGCAGCCTTGAGTTAGGGGTGTGGTGGTGGTGCGGCGGGGGGGGGGGGCAGCACACAAAGGTTAGTTCCACTCTGTTTGGAGGCAGATTTGTGTCTGATCTGGTGGCCCTCAAGGCTTGGCCTTACATGTGGTTGTACTTTGCATTAAGGGGATTTTTCATACCTACTTTGTAGTTGTCTAATTTAAAACTTTTCTGCAGAAAGATTTCCTCTTGTTTATGAAAAAGTGCAGGCTTTGAAGACTGAGAATACAGTTATAGTATTCACCAGGAGGAGCTTGGTGCTTTGGCGTGTTGCACGTAGGGCCTGCCATAGGTTCTCAGTTCTTGGCATCTCTAAGGAAGGCTTGGCTCAGGAATTTCTGTAACCCTTGCCCTCGACAGACGTCCTCATGTTCTGGTCCTGGGAACCTGCAGGCAGGCACTGCTTGTCCATCAGAGGAGCACCAGCCACCTTGTCTTTGCTACCAGCTGAGATTATGTCTTGGGTCTCATGTGAATCTGCTCCCCGCGGGGCTTGTGGCCAGAGTGCAGGCCAGCGTCCCCCAGGGTGTCAGGAGGCCACACCCCAGCCCCAGGGTGTACGGCAGGCCTGTGATTTTTGAGGAAAGCCTCCTTTTCTGTTGCACTTCTGGTTGGGAACCTTGGCTGCAAGTGTCACGTGCATCTAGTGGGACACTTGAAGGAGTTTGCTGCCTGGACCCTGGGTCATCACATTAGTCTCAAGACCCACAGAGTAATTTGAGGTAAATGGTCACCATGGACATTTCCATTGTCACTTAAGCTGGTGTCTCTTGCTGTTTCCAGGTTAGTCCAGGTTAAGGGGCACAGGCATAGTGAAGCACTTCGGGCTGCGCGGGTGGGCTGCTCACTAACGCTATGCTTCCTTCTCTTCCAGGGTTGGTACATCGTGACCTACGCCCTGGGAATCTACCATCTAAATCTTTTCATAGCGTTCCTTTCTCCCAAAGTGGACCCTTCCTTAATGGAAGACTCAGGTAAAGCAGAGGCCATCCACAGTGCTGTGTGGGCAGTGGGTGCCTCTGTGCCTTCCTGGGAGGCTGCACGTACTCCAGGGACGCGCAGGGCTGTGCTCCAGGTGCTTGCACGTACCTGTGGTAGCCGGGTTAGCATGAGCACTCTCAGCCTTCATACAGCCTTGTCGGGGTGTTCACTGATGTCCCCATTTTATGGATGAGGAGACTGAGGCACGTGGGGTTATCTGGCAGAGAAGGGGACCAACGGAAGGGGCGCTGAGCCTGCCTCTAGGTTTCCACCTTCTATAGGCAGCCCATCCTGGCCCTGCCGTAGGATTTACCATTTGGCTTCTCAGGTGACCAGAGGTTTACACGGGCTCCCTGCTAGGATCAGCACAGACCACTAGACCCTGACTGCTGGTGGCCAGGCTGGGGTGAGGTGGCAAGCACTCCCTGGTTTCTGAGACAGTGAAATGTGCTTGGCGTGTTTGTGTCATGTCTGCAAGGTTCCTGCTGTTCCTGCCCTGCCTGGGCCAGGGAGGGGCTGGGGGCACAGACGATGTGTGATTCTGTCAGGGCACACTGGCTGCCTGGGCCCCAGGGTCCTCTGTTGTGGGAGGTGCTCGAGAGTGGGGTTTGAGTTGGAGATCAGAAGTCTGTGGTTTTTCTTTATAGAATAATTAATGAAAACACCAAGGAAGTACAGCCCCTTCCGTTTAATTGCTATCTGAAGGAGACTAGATAAGACCCTTTCCTGGGGCCTCAGTTTCTCTCTCTGTAAATGAGGTGCGGTGGATGAGCAGAGCATGGCCTGCAGCAGCTCGCTGCAGTCCCACAGTGTTCTTGTGGGCAAGGACACAGCCTGCCTGCATTCTTTACTGCTTGTTTTGTGTAAATGTAATTCTTCCTTGTTTTTTTTTTTTTTTTTGGTGGTACTAGGGATGGAACATGCCAGGCAAGCATTCTGCCACTGAGCTCCATCCCCAGTCCCTTTGTTTTCTTGATGTCATATAATTGATGAAAAATCTGTGCGTAATTGAATTCTTTTTATGCATACAAAATGTGTAGAAGTCTTTCAAAAGAAAGTCTAAATTGAATCTTTTAAAGCATTGAATTGATTTGTAAATTGGCAGTAGACCCCCATTTTATCTTTGGCTAAATAATGTGAATCTATTTCCGAATGTGAGGCCTGCTAATTAAAACTTTTAGGGAAAGCTTCTGAATGTAGTGATAGAAATAAAAAGATGAGAGGCAAGTGCTATATCTCGGATTGGTAATCTGCCTTTCAGATGATGGCCCTTCCTTACCAACCAAACAGAATGAGGAATTTCGCCCCTTCATTCGAAGGCTTCCAGAGTTTAAATTTTGGTGAGCTACTTTTTTTTTCCTATTAAGCTTTTTAAGCTGTATTTGTATTTGACACGTGGTGACTGTGTGCTTATGGGGTACAGTGTGGCATGTCAGTGCATGTGTACAACATGTACCTGTCAGATCAGGAAGCTGGCATGTCCGTTACTGCAGGTATTTGCCACGTCTTTGTGTTGGGAACAGTCATGATCCTGTTAGCTACTGTGAAGCATGCAGTGTACTGTCCCCCATAGATGCCCTCCTTGTGCTGTGCCACACTTGACTGCACCTCTGACTGAAAGATGTCTGGCCTGCGCTTGAGTGTGGCTGAGGAGACTGAGAAGAGTCAGTTTGTTCTAGTCAGCCACCAGTTAAGACTTCTTAAAGGAGTGGGTTTGGTGTGCTTCATTTTTTTTGTAATCTTCATTCACCCAAAATGTGTTGGCTGGGTGGTGTGGGGCAGACTGCCACCTTGTGATGTCTGGAGCTGGCAGGCATGAGGCTTGTTCTGAGAGGTAGGGAGCTGCTGTCTTGCACGCTTGAGCCTCAGAAGGGCAGGCCCAGGCAACTGCCCTCTGGGCCCTGTGGCCTCCCATGGCCAGTAGAGTTGAACTAATTTTCTGCCTAATTCTTTTTTTTTTTTAATTTATTTTGTTGTTATAGATGGACAGAATGCCTTTATCTTATTTGTTTTTATGTGGTGCTAAGGTTAGAACCCAGTGCCTCACATGTGCTAGGCAAGCGCTCTGCCACTGAGCCCCAGCCCCTGCCTAGTTCCTGAGAGAGGTGGCCATGTTGGTGATGGGTCTGGGCCTACCCTCAGGGGCTGGTCCTTGTGTACACTAGGTCCCATGTAGCTAGAAGGAAGCAAGGAGGAGTGTGATGCAGGGACATGTAGTTGGATCCAGCTCCTCATGTACCCCTCTGCCGGAGGGTTGGGAGCTCTGTGGCTAGCCCTCTGTCCTGTTTCTGGGACCCCTGTTCCGGGACCCAGGAGGAACTGAAGTCTTTGTTGGGTCACTAAATTGAGCAAACTGGGTTTCTCCAGCTACAGGCACTAATCCTGCAGCCCTGGCACTGGGCATGGGACACAGTGTGAGGTGCGGAGTGTGGGGCAGTTGGGGAGAGGGAGTGCAGGGCGGGGGATCATGGGCCCTGGAAGCAGGGAGGGAGAGCAGTGGGGTTTACGCAGGGAGTGTGGAATCTATTGGAAGTGAGAGCATCACATGCTGGGACCTCGGGTCAGACAGCAGGCCTGGGCAGCACACGGGTGCATCGGCTTCAGCATGGCGTGTTGTACTTTGTGTAAGTTTAAGGCTTTTTCAGCTTGAGGGACTGAAAGGATGACGTGGTTAAGGCTCTTGCACACACACAGTAGGTGCTCATTTGTGGGTGAATTTAGGGAAAACTGGAGGCTAGAGGGGGCTGGCAGTTGCCAGATTCTGATCACAGGTAGCACTGCTAACTTCTTTCCTCATGTCAAGGCATGCGGCCACGAAGGGCATCCTGGTGGCAATGGTCTGCACCTTCTTCGAGGCTTTCAATGTCCCGGTGTTCTGGCCGATCCTGGTGATGTACTTCATCATGCTTTTCTGTATCACAATGAAGAGGCAAATAAAGGTAAAGACTTCAGCGCTGCTGTGCTCTGTCCTGTCACTGCCCTGGGAGAGCGTGCCCAGGTCTCTGCTGTGCAGCAGGAGGTAGGGCCTGCTAGGAGTGGCCAGCACTGCCTGGTGCATGGAGAGGACCCCGTGCTCCCCATCGTGGAGGCAGTGTGCACAAATCTGCAGATCTCCACGTGGGAACCAGCGGGCCCTCGGGCAGCTGGCTGGGAGCTGGGGAGAAAGTGCCAGGTTGTGCCAGGTCATTCCTGGGCCTGCAGGGTCTCAGTGGCTCTTCTTAATTGAAAACTCAGGGCTCTGCAGGCGGGGTGGTGTTGCCAACCCCTCCCCTCCTACACAGGGCTCACCAAACATTCCCTGAAAGTCGGGATTTCAGGTAGGGCTCAGACAGGTCAGCTGGGCTTTGGCAGTTTTCATGACTTGTGACATGTAGAGAAGACTGAGGGGCACCTTTGGCTGTTGAGATTAGGGGAAGTGTGGCCCCTCGGGGGACAGTTGTGAAGTAACTCAAGCTTGTTTGTGTTTGTTTTCCCAGCACATGATTAAATACCGGTACATACCATTCACACATGGAAAGAGGAGATACAAAGGGAAGGAGGACGTGGGCAAGACGTTTGCTAGTTAGAAGCTGGACTGAATCTGGCACACGTGTTCAAGACGGTTTTGAGCCATTGTAACAATGCCTTTTTCTTCACATAAAGTAGTTGATTACAAGGGATTTGAATTTTCTTTTTAAAAAGGAGCCTCAATGATTTGTAACTGAAATACAGGTTCTTGAAGAAACTGGCATTTAAACCAGATTGCATTGATTTCTATTTCAGTGGTGTCCACATGTTTCAAAGGACGGCATTGTATTAACCGCAGGCTCAAGAGGCCAGGCGGGCAGCAGCCGCAGGAGCAAGGGGTGGGAGGGAGGACAAGAGCGAGGCTACAAGAGGAGCTGGCTGCTCTGCGTGGGGCTGTTTCCCAGCCACGGTGAGGCCGGAGGGACCATGCCAACCCGATTCCTGCGTGCCAGAGAACGTAATGCTGCACAGGTGATTGATTTCAAGTAACTCTGGGGTTCTCATGCCAGTTTCCAAACCTCACCTCACTGGAGGTGTTTTCAAGCTGGCCTCTATCTCGATGACTCAAAACTTTGTTCTTAACTACCATGATTGCTTCTGAGGGCCTGGAATTATAAACATATTATATTTTAATTGTTTGAGATTATTTTGACACATTTCTTTGATACGTATGAAGAGTTTGTTTTGCTTTTGACTAATAAATGTTTTCAGCCCCTGTAAGGAAACACCAAAACTGGTCAGAGCAGGCCAGGTTTGTGAGTTTAACATAACAGCTTTTCATTTTCTACAAGGGAAATAGAACCTACCGCATGTCAACTTTTTTAATATGATAAAAAAAATACTCTTAAACATTTTACTAAGTGACTTTTTAATTCCAGTTTTATTAAAGACAGTGTCCTTTGCTTGCATAATCTATACCTAAAGCACTAGACCTTGCACCAAGGCCCAGCTTGCTCTCAGCCGCCCCTGGAGGGGAACAGTCTTTGACGGTAGCCAAGAGACACCCCTGCAGGAGGCACAAGTGCTCTGGCCCTCTGGTGCCTTGGCAGCAGGGCTTCCCATGCACACACAGGGTTTCAGACACTGAGCCAATGGTCTGGACGGTCTTTTGGTGACTTCTGATCTCAAGTTGAGCTCCTCTGAGAGGTCATATATAAGTCCTTCTGTGTACCTGAAATTTCACTTTTTGTATGTGTGTGTGGTTCTGGGGATTGAATCCAGGGCCTTGAGCCTGTTAAGCCAGTGATGTACCTGAGCCACACCCTCCAAGATCCCTGTAAATTTTTTTCTCTCTGCCACACAGGCTAAGTTGCCAAAGCTGACATCAGACTTTCCTCTTGCCTCAGCCTCCCTAGTAGCTGGCAGTACGGGCAGCACCTGGGATTGTCAAACTCTGCCTGTGATGGGAACTCAGTGTGCATCTATCTGTCCAGGGCTGGGCATGGTTGTGCAGAGCTGTGCTCCAGGCCCCCTGCAGGGGCTGTGGAGGCTTCTGCTGCCAGCAGCCCTGGAGCCATCCCCAGTGCTCCTCCCAGCCTAGGGCGGGCAGTTGCCTGTTGCTGTTCGCTGGCCCTGCTCACTAGGAACAGCTGCACAGCAAAGCCATGTTGCTGGCTGGCCTCAGCCCCACATTCCACACAACCCAGAGGTCCTGCCGGGGGCAGCTCCACACATTTTATGAGGTTCGTTCAGGTTAATCCTTTGTTCTCCATGGAGCAACATTTCTGTGGAATTAGTTTCTTAAACGTTGCAAGTTGTCTCTGGCACCAGTTAAGTTTGAAAACCTGGAAATATCAAATAGAGGCAGGAAGCAGGCTGGGGACAAGCTGAGGGGCTGCCACAGCATGGCCTTGGGTAAGCAGCGTGCTTACCACTGGGCCTTTCGGGGAGGGCACTGGCTCACCTAGGCTCCCCAGAGGGGCCTAAGAGCAGAAGCGAGTTAAGACGTAAAGAAAACAACAGGAAATTTCCCTCAAGCTGGCTCTGCCCCTGCAGCTGGGGAGACCCGTTCCCATTTGTGCTAAAGCTAAAAATGGGAAGCAAACGCCATGAATTAAAAATATGTGCCAAATATTTAGTCAGAGGTACTGACCTTTGGTTACTGTGTGGTCTTGACACCCAGTCCTATAGATGGGCTTGCCTGGCCTGGGTGCTGGAGGCCTCTGTGACCACCCAGGGGAACACACTGCCCCCTCCCCACTTGATGCTCAGCTCCTGCCTCCTGAGAGTCCTCTGCTCAACAGAGTGAATAAAATTCTTTCTGGACAACTTTTGAAATTAGTTCTCAACTCTGTGGCTGGGGAAGGGAGGGAATCCTGAGACCTTGTCCAAACGAGGGACCTCTGAAGAAGCCTTAAGCTGAGCCAAACCTGGGGCTTTTGGCCCCTCCCTTGGTGGGCCACAGCCACCTGCCAAAGCAGCCCTTATAGTGCCAGGCTGGTCACCCTCGTCAGCACCAGCTTTTTGTCCTCTAGCCTGGTGGCGGGAGTCGTAGCTTTACGTGGCAACCCAGTGCAAAGCGTTCTATGATTTCTGTACAACTAAGTGAATCTCGAGAATAAGCTTCTTGAGGTTCCTCCATCCACTTTCCAGGGTGTTTGGTGACAGTCAGCGGTAGTGCCTCAGGTAGACCAGTTTCTGGGGAGGGAACTTCTCCCTGCAGAGGGGACACTGCGCCTGTGGGGGATGGCAGGGTCACCGACAACACACGGGCTGCCCCTTCCTGCTGAACCTATGATCTGCAGCTCAGAACCATGGAACAGCCTTCCCCAGTTCTGACAAGGTGGTGGTGCTAGGCATGGTCAGTTCTGGCCCACAGCAGCTGTGCCCCTGGACACTCAGGGTACCACACAAGGGGCTCCTCATTCACCCTCAGCACCTATGGACCACTGGTGCTGGGGACCTTCCTGTTGGGCTTATTCTGCTGCCTGAGCTTCACTGTGTCTGCCCAGCAGTGCTTGGGCAGGCAGCTGTGGAGGGCTTCAGGCTTCATCAGGAAGGCAGATATTGGGCCACATGAACTGCTCTGAACCCTTTCTTTTAGGTCTTCCCACCAGATCCCATTCTGGACGCACCCTGTCCTACCCGTTGGGACAGGGCTCCCTCTGCACTGCTGTGCACGAGTTCCACACTTGGTACACTGGGCTCTCAGAAACGCCCATCCAACTGGCATTACTGAGTCTCTTGGGTGTGTTTCCAGAAGAATGAGTTCTCCTGTCCTTGTCCTGCTCCATGATGTCCAGGGTGCCCTCCCTAAGAGCTGTCTGGCTAGAGCCATTCTGTAGTCCCTCCCAGCAAGGGAAGTGCCCAGCTGCCCAGGGGATGCAGCATGTGCACTCTGCCACTCGGCGCCTGTCCTGCTAGAAGTGGAGTCTAGTGTGGGCACAAGGATGCCCTGGTGGGTGCAGCCTGGCAGGGCAGGGTGAGGGCAATATGGCCTGGGCCTTGTGCTCACCATATGGGACTTCTATCTAAACACGGCTCCACGCCTAACTGACCTGGGCGCTTTTAGAAGAGGCCACCCTCCACCCCAGACAGAGGGACGTTTAGAAGGGCTCGGGCTGGCCACACACCTTGGTGCTGCACCACTCAGTGATGCACTCCCAGCAGAAAAGGTGGCCACAGGGAGTGGCTGTCGCGTGCCTGCGCTCCTCCAGGCACAGGGTGCACAGTGGTGCGCGGGAAACGGCTCTGTCTTCCAGCGAGCTCCTGGGGAGGGCAGGGCAGTCGAGGTCAGAGTGCTGTCCAGTTCTTGCAGTATGCCCAAGCACCCCAATAGCCCTTGCGCACCTGCGGTGGGACAGATTGCGGTGCAGCCTCCACTCCTTCCTGGCTCGCCGCCTCTGCCTGAAGCCGTACAGCTGCAGCCCCACGGAGAGTGCCAGGTGCAGCAGGGAGACGAGCCCCAGCAGCCGGTAGCTTGCGCGAGCCCGTGGGTCCTCTCCTGACAGGTGGTGGATCCGCAGCTGTCAAGGTAGGTGGCCCCAGAGCCATCAGCACCCTGAAGGGGACCTGGCTCCAAATCTGCGAGAGAGCCCCTGTTCTGTCAGGCGCAGGCCTCCCAGGGTGCTGGGAGTGCCCAAAGAATGAGACCAGGCCTGGGGGTGGGTTTGGGGAGACTCAGGAAGAGGCCCCAGGCAGGAGACTGACTGCTGGCCATCCTCAGCATAATTGGGGTGAGCCTGAGGCTGGACAGGACAGGGGAATGGGTGAAGATTCTGTGGTCATCCAGTAACTGCCTTTTGGGGAGAAAAGGGACTAACTGGAAAAGGGCCAAAGAGAAGCTGAGGGGACATGGAGCTGGACATGTGGACACTCCTCACCAGCTGCACTGTTACAGGGACAGACATGTCCCTATTTTAGCAAGGTATACGGCTCCCTGACCCTACACACATTCCCAGTCTCTCTTGTACCTAGTAATGTAACTTCTGGCCACGTTACTGAAGAAAAAGCCCATTGGCCCCAAAGCGGAGACAGTCAGTTCAGCCATATAGGCATCTTGGGCCAGAGTGGGAGCACATATAGAGGTGGCAGACCCCACTGCCAACCTGGCCCTGCTGCCCTTGTGGAGAGGAGCCCTATACCTGCCCGGTGCCTGGCCAACAGTGGCCCTGGAGGAGGGAGAACAGCCACTCAGCAAACTACCCAGATCCTGCAAGGCGTGAGGACCTACTAGATACCTTCAGGTCTGAACATGGAGACCCCACCGCAACTCTGCAACTGATCCTGGTGACCTGCTTATGTGTGGGGTGGGGCAGGCAAGATTGAGAGGGACCTGGGAGGGGCTCAAGGCCAAAGAGAGTACTGGGGTCCTACTATTCCTCCCTGGACCAAGACCAGTCCACCAGTCCCACCTGTCACCCTTTAATTCATCCCCTTCAGGATGTCACCCCGAACCCTGGGCATGGCCAACATGACCTCCCTTCTAAAAACTCAGGCAGCACTGTAGCCCAGGAGGGAGGGCACCAAGGCTGGGGGCAGAGAGATGCTCCATGGGTGTCAGTGGAGAGCCAGGATAGGAAGAGTCGGGGTGGCTGTCAGGAGCAGACGAGGGAGGCCTGGCAGAGATGCTGTCCACATGATCAGCTGTTGGAGAAACATCCCTGGACCAAGACCCAAGACACTGCCCCTGTGCCAGGACTGCAAAACAGTGTGAGTGGGGCCCTGGGAACTGGGCTGGAGCCTGCACTCGGCACTGACTGGGACCACTTGCTCCTTCCCCAAAGCAATAAAATGTACACAGCCGCAGTCTAGACCTGTGCTGCAGATCTGCCCCAAGACTGGACCAAGGTCTCTGTGTTTACTGACCTATCCCCACCTCCTGGCAGCCCTGCACAGGAAAAAAGACTTGCCCTACCCTCGGAGTTCATGGAAGTTGGACTTCCCCAGGTCTTTCAGCAAAATGTAACTGAATAAAAAACTGTGGTTTTCCAAGTAGAGGTCTTGTTGCCACCTCAGACTGCAGCACTTGACTGATGACATCATCACATAGATCACTAGCACAGACCCTGCAGCAGTGATCTAGGTGTCCAGGTGGGGCCCTTGGCTCTATACTTACATAAGTGATCCCTGTGAGCCTCTTGGCCAGGTGGTAGAAGATGCCGTGGATGTAAAACCAGGCTATGTGGAGGCGATGGAGGCAGGCGAGGCCCTGTCTAAGGATGAAGGTGGCCCGCTGAAGTGTCCTCCTCTGTTGCTCGGTCAGGGTAGCCATGTGGCGACGAACCCATCGTCGTGTCCCTGACCGGCCACGCCCACTGGGCACCAGGCTACCCTGTGAGGGCCGCATGCTATCACCTTCAGCCTGCAACTCCTGCTCCAGGGGCAGCAGGGCCTTGTCCAGCAGGTAGGGCAGGACTGCATGAAGTGTGACCAGCATACAACGGCGGAGGCTGGAGGGCACATGCCGCTGGGATGGGTCCACCTGGATGATGCCCACATACTCCTCCCCAAGCGTCTGGTAGCCTAGAAGGACAAGGACAGGTGTGCATTGATGCAGGGACAGGCTCCTGTGGTCAGCCTGTCCTCAGTCAGCTTCTGTACCTGAGCATCAGTCCACTAGTCCCACCTGTCACCTTTAACTCATCCTCTTCAGGATGTCACCCTGAACCCTGGGCATGGCCAACATGACCTCCCATTGCAAAACCCACCATAGCCTCCTTATGACCTTAGAGACACAACCTGCCTCTCAGGCTGTCCTCAGCTCCTGGGATCTGGCCTGTTATGATTGGGATCTGGAAAGTTCCCCAGACTTATATGTTGAAGGTTTGGTCCCCAATGTAGCGATAGGGCTTTTGGGAAGCAACTGAGGCACTAACCCACTGGTAAATTTATAGTTGAGTGGGCTACTAGGAGCTGGGGCCTAGCTGGAGGAGGCAGGTAACTAAGGATATTCCTTGGCCTCTTCCTCTATGCTCTGCTTCCTAGCGGCTACAAGTCAAACAGCTCTCCTCTTACATACTCTCCACCATGGTGCTCTGCCTGGCCAGAGGCCCAAAGCAACGGGGCCAAGTGAGCCAAAATAAACCTTTCCTTCTTCACATTGGACGTTTCTGCTTTTGTTGCAGCAATGGAAAGCTAACGCACCTGTGCTCCCTGTTCCCCCAGGTTCTGATCCTCTTCAGAGCCTGTGCTTGTTCCTCTTTTCTCCCCTGCTGCCCCTCTACTCCCTGCCCATGTGGTAGGACTCAGTCTTGTTGCTCCCTACCTCCCACACACTCCAGTGAAAACCCAGACCTGGCTCACTCCCAAATACCTGGCTTCCAGGTCAGCTGCCTAGCAGATATCATCCCCAATTCACTGCTAACCAACAGGGAGCTTCCAGACCACCTGGGAAAGCCTGCTCCCCACTTCCTGTCTCCATGGAAAACCATGCTGGCCCTCCTATTCTTGAGGTCAAGCCCATAGTGCATCCTTGACATCTCTTCCTGTGTGTCTCCCTGCTTCTACCTCTGCCTGACCTCTCCCTTCCCATGTCCTTGCAACACCCCCACCTTTCAGAGGAAAAGCTAAAAGATCACAAAACTACTGTCTCTCAGGGGCACTCCCAGCCTTCTAAGGAGGCCTCCTTATCAGGGTCTTCTTGGCCTTGAGAAATGCTCTTTCTCAAAACTGGCCCTTTCCCCTAAAGAGCTCATCACCTCCCACAATACTACACAATGCAGTTATTTTTTTATTTTTTTAAAGAGAGAGTGAGAGAGGAGGGAGAGAGAGAGAGAGAGAGAGAGAGAATTTTTAATATTTATTTTTTAGTTCTCGGCGGACACAACATCTCTGTTGGTATGTGGTGCTGAGGATCGAACCCGGGCCGCACGCATGCCAGGCGAGCGCGCTACCGCTTGAGCCACATCCCCAGCCCCACACAATGCAGTTATGTGGTGCTTATCAGCAGCCAGAGCATTCCAGGGTGGCAGGACACCCCTGGGTGGCCCCCTTCTTTACAACTGGCTGGCATTTAGCGTGTGTTCAGTGATCTTTGCTGGGTCCCAAAATGGAATTGGCAATCCTGAGGGCCTATCAGACCTTTGTAAGGATGACCATCACGCTTGACCTTCTCACTCCCCCATCAGAGATTACTGCTAGCACCCCTGGGACTCGGGTGACCAATGTGACCCACTTGTGTCACCAAGGTAGCCACTGAAAAAAACACCACCCTGGGCCAAGTCCTGGAAGAAGGTCTCCAGGGACAAAAATGATGGAGGGCAAGGCTCCTGGCTGGGGGTTGAGCCCTGGGCTCTGGGGAGTCCCAGGCAGCTCCTCCTCTGATCTGTGGTCCCTTCCTTCCTGGGGCTGCATGTGGGCTGGTTTCAGGAGCTTCTCACTCTGCCTGGAAGCCCCATCCCATCCCTGTCCTTTGACTTTGACTTGGGTGGGTTGTGGATCCCTCAGTGCCAAAGGCCTGCTGAGGGTGGTACCTGCAAGTGTGGTGAGGCCAAAGTAGGCTATGTCTGAGAGCAGCTCGATCTCTTTTCTCCACTCCAACCACTTCTTTGCACCTGAGAAGAGAAAAACACATTCCTGGGGCAAGTGGTGGGGTCCTTTAAGGGTGAGGGCCCACAAACTTCCCCAGGTGCTCAGTACAGATCAAGTTCCTCCCCTTCCTGCAGGCTGAGAAAGCCCTCAACCACCCTTCTCTCTCCTGGCCTCCCTTGGCTCCTCCTCCTCCGGCCGGGGCCTGCGGCACAGACCCCTTGGGAGAAGTACCCGCTGCAGCTGTCTCCCGCTCCAGGGCCCGCCGCCCCAAGGCCCCAGTCTAGGCAGTGCTGGGCCACAGGCTGGAGGCCGCCTGCCCGGCTCACGCCCGGCTCTCCTGCTGCCTGGCCGGCCGAGCGATCCTGGACCTCCGCTTGCCCACCTGTCGAGAGTGGCGCCCCCAGGTCCTATCTGTGGGGACGTTGAAGAGTAAATGGGTGGCCTTTGGACAAGCACGGAGAACAGCGCCTGGCACAGGGTACGACAGATAAACACGCACGTCCAAACAGCCTATTCTGACCGTCACCCTCTCGCGGCCGCCGACCCGGCCTCCAGGGCGGCGCGCCCGCTGCGGCCCGGGGTGGAGCAGCTCCCGGCCGCCAGGGCCTGGGGCCGAGCCGCCGTGGCGCCGGCCTCTCTCCCGTCGCGTCCTCCCGGGCGCTCACCCGCCAGGCTGTGCAGGGCGCCGCCCGCCGCGCTCCGCAGGCCGCCGCGGTAGTACTCGTCCTTCTGCGCTGCGCGGATCACCTCGGGCGGGGCGGCAACCCGCGCCATGGCCCTAACTTCACGACCACGCACCGCACGCTACCCCCGTGGGCGTGGCCTGATGGTGCACGACGTCGTGCGGCGCAGACCTTGTGCGTCACTCGCACAGGGGCGTTGATGGTGGAAAACTTGACGGGGACTAGACCGAGGGCGCAGCGGGGCGGGGCCGGGGCGGGCGGGAGGCGGGG